ACACTTTCCTAGGTCAGTCCCCACAGCCTTAGAACCAATGCTCCAGCACTGGAGGCAAGCAAGCAAGCAACGGTTTCACAACCACTTACCAGATATGTTGACAAAGGGATTAATGCAATCATTGGATAGACTTCGTACATTTGATTCTATTGATTCATGACTTTAGAATCCCCAACTAGAATACTAATCCCAGGTATGGTTCTTGCCCAAAGATATCTTTACAAAAGAATTGTCTTTAACCTTTTTTAAATTTTTCTTTTTCTGTTTAACTAAACTCTTAAAAACAAATGTCCTTAAATCATCAGTTTTGTATCCCTCATTATAGAATCTCACTTTTTGTAGAATCGTTAAAAACTTTACTTGTGAAAGTCTTTGGCTTTTGAAGAATATTTATAGTGTTCCAAAAAGTTAAAAAGATTCGTTTACATCCCCATCCATCAGTGGACCAGAGGTCCTCGTGTTCCACACTCTCACAAGCATTTATTCTTTACAACAGTTATTATAACTGGGGGCAATGGCATCTGTAGTTTAAATCTGTATTTCCATGATAACTAATGATAGTAAGTAGTTGTTTATATGTTCGTTGGACATTTGTACTTTCCCTGATCACATCATCTGCCCATTTTATATTGACTCACTTGTGCTTTATTAAGTTTTTGTGTTTATTTATATATTCTGAAAGCTAGAACTGTCAGATGAACAGTTGTATATATCTTCACCATTTTGATTGTTGGAAAGGGATTTATTTTGACATAATGCCATTTTTCAAATTTTGTATTTATTTTCTGTATGGATTTTGGAAGATCTTATTTTAAAAAAATCACTGCCAGTACAATACTATCTTCAAGCATTTCCCCTAAAATTTCTTTATTAGTTTTGTGTTTCAGTTTTGAGTCCATTTTGAGTTGACTTACAGGTAGAGCTAGAGAGGGAGTCAAATTTCAATGTTTTTGTGGAGATTCATTTTTCACAGCTCCTAAGTACAGAATCATCTGCAGACAGATGATAATTTCAGTTCTTTCCATCGTATTTTTATGTCTTTCATTTCTTTCTCTTGGGAAATTGCCCTGGTTTAAACCTCTACTAGTATACTGAATTAGATAATGAGAGTAAACCCCACTCTTTTGTTGTGGCTCTTACAGGAAACCTTTCAGCTTGTTCTCAGTCAACATAGAGCTCTGGCTGGGGTCTTCGTATATAGCCTTGTTACTCTGAAGCATGAGCCTTCTATACTTAAACTGTTCAAGGATTTATTAGGAAGGAATGTTGAAAATTAACAAATGACTTTCTGCATCCATTCAGATGATGATACAACTTTTTATACTTCTTTGGGGGAGGGGATAAGAGACAGGGTGTTTCTGTAGTTTTGGGGGCTGTCCTGGAACTTGTTCTGTAGACCAGGCTGTCCTCAAACTCAGAGATTCACCTGCCTCTGCCTCCCAAATGCTGGGATTAAAGGCATGCACCACCACCACCCAACTACCAACTATACTTCATTTTATAGATAAAAGTACCACACTCACACTGGTTTCCAGATATTGAACCATCTTTGTGTCCCTGGGATAAAAATAACTTGGCTACAGGGTATGGCTGACTTGGTGTACTGTTGAATATGATATGCTAACAGCTTGTTAAGAATTTTTACATATATTACTATCATAGTCTATAGTCTCTTTTTCTTATGTTCTTCTTCAGTTTGGGTGACAGAATGCTCACCTCACACAATAAGTTAGGAAGGGTTCCTTCACTTGGAATCCTGTGGAAGAGTTTGAGAAAAATCATCACTAGTTCTTCTCTTAAAGTATGATAAGAGCCAGCAGTGACCCATCAGATCCTGAACTTTTTCTCAATGGGAGACATTTTACTACTGACTCAATTACTTGTAATTGGTATATTTAGAGGTTTTTTTTATATCTTCATTATTCAGGTTTAATTAATAATCAATGGCTAGAAAATGGTTCCATACCTTCTAGATTTTATAAAATTTTTTCATATAGTTTTCCATATTAATTTCTAATAGTTTTTGTATTTTTATGTTGATTATAATATCTTATTCCTAATCTTATTTATTCGTCACATGGTTTTCTTGTTTTATCAGTTAGTCTAACTAAAGATCTACCAATTTTATTTATTTTTTCTAAAACCAACTTATTTTGTCTTTTGGTCTTTTTAGTCTTTCATTAACTTCTCTGATTTTACTATTTCTTCAACTAATTTCATGTTTCATTTGTCCATGATGAAAGTTATGCTGTCTTTTTTAGTTTTTCAGTTTTTATATGCAAGCACTCTTGCTATAAAGTTTCTTTTTTCTCTTATATTTTAGATATATTATATTTCCATTTCATTTCCATTCTGATTTCCATGATTGCCTACCATACAGCCAAAATGTGCTGTCAGACACCAGTATTTGCCTATATTCTGAAATTTCTTTTGTTTTCATCTTTTCAGTTTCATCCATTGTAATCATAACAAAAGATAAAATATTATTTCAATCTTAATTAATAGGCCTATGGGTATTTATTTGTTTTCTAAGATTGGGTACTCCAACATTAAGTAGATAAAGGACTATGATCACTATGGCTCTTGTTGAATTGATCCTTTGATCATATATAATGACTTTTTGGTCTTTTTTCCAATTTCATCTCAATCCCTATCTTGTGAGATGTAATTATGGTGATACCTATACACTATATGTTCACATTTATTTGGAATACTGTTTTTGTTGTTGTTGTTGTTGTTTTCTTTTTCTTGTTTTTTTATTGCCAGGACAAAGAGATGTGGAGATAGAAATGTCAGTGTCTAAACAATTAAAGCAGGCTTCTCAGACCTTGAAAATTATTCAAATTCCAAACACCTCACCAAATACTTTCCTAATGGAATTGTATGATGGTGTCATGTGTGAAAATTCACACTGTTATTGTGTTTTGAACTGCTATAACAAAATATTACAGCCTGGATACTTATAAAGTGTTGGGGCCCATAAAAATGAATTTGCTTCATTTTGCTTAAGGTCAGAGAGTTCAAAACTATCCTTACTCTGCCAAGGTTGAAATCATAAGACATAAAGTTCTAAGGTATGTAGGTACTGTAGGATGTTTGGTTTTAGGCATGGATGTCTTATCTAGGTAACAAGATACTTGGTCTGAGGTATGGTTACTCTTAACCCTCAAGGCCAGATAATGGGAGGTTTAGTCTAAGGTGTAGTTACCAAATGTTTGGAGAATTAAGGAAGGAAGACAGTTTCTTCTTTGTATCTTGATAAATAAGTCTTTTTGGAATACTGTTTTACAACCTTCTGCTGTCAGTCATGTTTCTTTACTAAATTTCACAACTATGCTGTTGTGTAGCATAAATTCTAGTTGGTATTAATAATAAAAACCCAGAGACAGATATTGGGGTTAAAGCTGAAGATCAGAATCAGAGAGGCAAAGCAGCCAGCCACTAGAGAGCTCTCGTCTCTACCAATGCTCAGGTCAAAAGGGCCATCCTGTCCTCAGACGGCATCTTCAGACTGCACTGCTCCTTAGACTGCACTGTTCTCCACCAAACATCAGACTACCCTAAGCTCCTGTCTCCTCCTAGCTTATATTCCTCTCTAGTGCTTGGATTAAATGCATGGGATGCCAAGTTCTGGGATCACCATTGTGTGAGCTCTGTTTCTCTTTTAGACTAGTTCAATTTCGTGTAGCTCAAAGTAGCCTTGAACTAACAGTTATCCATCTACCTCCTGAGTGCTGCGATTAAAGATATGTGACTACCACTGCCTGGCCTCTGTGACTGTGACTAGCTTTGCACTCTGATCTTCAGGCAAACTTCTTTGTTAGATATTAGTGGTTCTCTGATCTTTAAGGCTGACAGAAAGGTAGATAAGATAACCAAAACACAACTTACTTAAGTATTGAGCAACTAATAATCAACACTTTCATTAGTGAACTGTGTCATTTGACTGATAAGCTACTTCTACTGGGACACCGTTGAGCTTCCCCCAAGCTTATCACCAGTAGGAATTTAGTATAATAAAGACCAACATTGCAAGTGATTAAAATTAAAGTGGCAGAGACTCGGCACTAAGGACAAGTCTGAGGGACCCATTTCCTCAGCTGCAGGGAATTCTGAGTGCAACAAAACTGAAGCTGAGTCCATCCCAACCTTACCACCCACATGTCCCTGGTTCCTCTGCAAACAAGCCACCAAAAGCACATCCCCAGACACACTGCATCTGAGGGAAATGTAGGGGGAACCAGCTATGTGATCATATTTGCAAGACACTATCTTTACCATTTCAGGCTACTGATGAAGTACAAATGTCCTATCTTTGCATTTAAAAACATGGTGAAACAGCTAAACACTGATCTGAAATATAATCCAATTGCAGAGGAGGACTGATGAGCAAAGGGGTCCAGACCAGGCTGGTGAAAACCACAGAAACAGCTGACCTGAACAAGGGAGAGCTCTCGGTCCCCAGACTGATAGCTGTGAAACCAGCATGGGACTGATCCAGACCATATGAACATGGGTGTCAGTGAGGAGACCTTGGAAATCTGTGGGGCCCCTTGTAGTAGATCAGTACTTATCTCTAGCATAGACATGGACTTTGGGAGCCCATCCCACATAGAGGGATACTCCCTGAGCCTAGACACACGGGGGAGGGCCGAGGCCCTATCCCAAAGGATATGATAGATTTTAAGACCCCCTATGGAAGGCCTCACCCACCCTGGGGAGCAGAAAGGGTATGGGATAGGTAGGGTGTTAGTTGGGGACAGGGGAGGAGGGGAGGGAGAGGGAACTGGGATTGACATGTAACACAATCTTGTTTCTAATTCAAATATAAAAAAAAAAACCCATGGTGAAGATAATAGCTTCAAATGGAGGGAATCAAAGAATTATTTGAGAACACAAAGACTTTGTCCTTAAGCACAGCACTATTCTAGCAGTGGAAAATTAGTACATACTGGGAAATTCATGAAATACAGGATATCAATGAAGAACAAGGAAATAAGTGAGATGAACGTTAAAGTGGCTTTTATTCATTCAATTTTCCTTTTAACATACTAACATTATTACAAATTCTAATGTAACCAGACTTGGCTGAAATTTTTTTTATTAAGATACAGATCTATGAACAGAATAATTACTTGCTAGCTAGATTACAGTTCCTTGTAAAAATAATATGTGAAAAATTAGTAGAAAATGAAAATCCGAAACTTATCTGAAATCTGAAAATGTTAAGTCATTTCTGCTGCATGTTACTGTTGATCACTTCACAGAATATTGGCGCATAATTGGGCGGAGAATATTTAATGGTTCTATTTTTGTTAAGAGCACAGTGGGCCCTTCAGAGCTTGGCATAGTCTTTAAGAATCATCTGAAGCTTCTGGCTCAGCATGATGTTCCCTCGGGCCATCAGTCTGCCGCTGAAGAAGGCCTGCAAAGGGACAGGGAAAGAGCACCAACCATCAACCCTGCACTTAATTCTTTTTCCAAAAAGATAGTTGCTCAGACTCACAACAAACAGGTGAGTCAGGAGCTGGCAGCAAAGGTGGCTTCAGTCCAGCTGTAAGAATGTAACAGTTATGGATAGCACACATCATTTTACCTAAGAAAAAAGACTCCTGTGTGTTTGGACTAAGTTATCTGACTTGAATGGCAATTCTGCTTGAATCTGTGCTTCTGGCTTTATTATTACAGGTGGGTTTGAGAATACGTGGATACAAGACTATACTGCACTCTTTCATAATACAACTATTCCACTCAGAACTTGGAGGGCACTCTTGACTCTTTCTATCTCTCAAATTTATGATCTCTATTTAACTGTTGTTACACACATACACACAAAGTCTATTCCTAAATATATAAACACAACCTCCTCAGTCAATTTAATGTTTCCAGGGCTGACCACTTGGTACTAGATAACTCCCAACATCCCTTCTTAGTTGCCTGCAGTTCTCTGTGTAGGGCTGAGGCCCCCATGAGATTTCCCCTTCCGTGCTAGCATGTCTGTTGGTAAGCTTCAAGTCTTGTTTAGGAGGTGTATTGATGAGACTTCATAGGTGTCATCTGTGTATGTCTTTTATTTCTTTCTGGTGCCCGCATGTTCTGGCTAACCCTACTATTACTTAAGCATGGGGAAGAGTAACCCATATACTGCTTATGATCATAAATGCTTTTAGCTTTTGCTGATTCCATGTAATACTGTCTGTGGGTTTGTCACCCTTTACTATGTTGGAGTTTGATCCTTCTATATATAATGTGATTGTGGCTCATATTACCACGAAAGGTGTGTTGCATTTTCTCAAATGCTTTTAATGCATTTATAGACAGTCATATGATTTTTCCCTTCATTCTGTGGAGCATATGTTGAATCATCTTGCATGCCTGGGATAAAATGCACCTTTTTTTCCCTTAGCTGCGTTTGCACGTGCGTCCGTGCGTGCGTGCGTGCGTGCGTGCGTGCGTGTGTGTGTGTGTGTGTGTGTGTGTGCATGTGTATGCGTGTGCACGCACTCACTCAGATACATACACAGGCTGTTGAGTTTGCTTTGCTAGTGTTTTTGTTTATCCAGGACAATAATGTATGCATGTGTCTCCTTATCAGGTCTGAGTCACAGAGTGGTGCTATCCTCACTGAATGAGTTTGAAGGACTCCAGCCCTTCAAGCACTGATGTTAGTTCTTGTTTAAAAGTAGGGTAAAATTCAGTGGTGAAGTCATCTGTCCTGGGTTTTTCACTCTTATGAGAAATTTTATTAATGATTACCATGTATTTTATAGCTTAATATTTTGTCTATTCTAGGGAAAGTTCTATATGCTGCTGAGAAGAAAGTGTCATCTGTGCCTGTTGAGTGGTCTATAAATGTTAAGTCATTTGATCTATGACATAGTTTATCTGTAGTAAACTCTGATTTTTTTGAATGAATAATCTATCAGTTCACTGTTGTATGGGGTGTAGAACTTTCCCATTACTTATTTAAAGCATATCTTTCCCTTTAGTCTAACAGTATTTGTTTTCTAAAACTCAGTGGTCCAATATTAGATACACATTCATTCATAATCATCCTTTCTTTCATGAACTGGCATTTGGTCACTGTACAGTGAACTTCATCTACTTTTGTCTCCATTGTCAGATGTAAATATAGCTACTCAACATTTCTGTTTACTTTAGAATGCCATTTTACAATTTTTCTTTCAGTTCATTTTGGGATTTTACTTAGGAAAATGAATTTCTTGTAGGCAGAACATTGTTGAACCTTAATCCAGATCTTTTAGTTGGTGAATTACAACCATTTACATTTGGTAACTATTGGGTGGTATAAATTTATGTTTATCTTATGTTGATTTTCTTCTAGTTCTGATTTTTCCGCTCATTTTTCCTTTCTTATATTGCTTTATGGTTGGTGGCTGGCTGTACTAACATTCTTTCGTATGTCCGCTCGTCTAATAGACTTGCTCCTTCCTAACTCCTCATATTATCCCCTTTCCACTTCTAGGCAGGATAATCCCTTCAACACCTCTGTTCTGCTGGTGGGCTGGGTCTCCCATCTCCTCCACTGCTGCTTACCTCAGGAGGTCTCTACTTCTCCTCCAGGTCTGAAGGAGAGCTTTACTTGATACAGTAACCTTGGTTGGCAGTTATTTCTTTTCAGGCTTTGGAATGCACACTTCCATACTTTCCTGCCCTGTAGTGTTTCTGCTCAGAAGTCTGTTGTCAGTCCAATAGGGCTATTGAGGACTTGGCACTTTCTCAGGTTTAAAGAATCCTCCTTCATCCTGTAGTTTGACAGTCTGACTATGTCATAGTGACTTTTTTTTATCACATTCATTTGGGAACTCTGAATCCTGTATCTGGATGTTCATGTCTTTCTTAACATTAGGGAAGTTTTCAACCACAATTGCACTGAATAGTTTCTATGCCTGTAACATTAACTTCTAAGTATATATTTTCGTGATGTTCCACACAAACTGAGTCTCTTAATTATTTTTTCTTTCTTAATGTGAAATTTTGAACAGCATATCTTCAAGCTAATATTCTTTTTTATACTTGTTCTATTTGGGAGCTTTGACTAAAATTTTTATCTGTGTTACTGAGCTCTGTTTTCCAACATGTCTTCCTATTTGCAGAACATGTCATTTATATCCTGCACACATTCCTAACTTCATACAGCTATGATCTTTTGAGCCCTTATATTGAAAAGATTGATTGGTTGATTTATTGTGTTTATGTGTACCATATGTGTATGGGTGTTTAAAGAAGTCAGAGAGCATCAGATCACTTGGAACTGGCATTACAGGTAGCTAGCCACCTGTATGGATGCTGGAAACTGAATGTGAGTCCTCTCCAGCAGTGGAGAGGGTTCTTAACCACTCATCTCTATAACCCCATCTACTTGAGCATCTTTAGGATCCGTTACTAAAGTGCTGCCATTGGCAGGAGGTACCATAGTATAATGCCTGTTTCTCATATATGATCTTATGTTGAGATTTATGTTGTTTGGTAGAATGGATATCCCTACTACTTTCATGAGATGGCCTTCTTAGAAAGCAAATTTCTTCTGAAAATGTGTCTTGGGATACTGGTTTGTTATACAAATCTGAGTCTGGTTCTTGTAGGTTATTTTGACCATCACTAGTGTTTGAGCAATATAACATACTCAAGTCAGAGACCTACTGTCTCTGCAGATTGTGCAGGAGTTGGGGGACTCAAGCAGTTCAGATGGGTGTGGTCTAGACAACAGAGTGGGTGCATACTGTGTACATATGGGAGCAATGACTTCTATCAGGAGCATGCATTAACTTTTTTTTTTTTTTTTTCAAGACAGGGTTTCTCTGTGTAGCTTTGGAGCCTATCCTGGCATTTGCTCTGTAGACCGGGCTGGCCTCGAACTCACAGAGATCCTCTGCCTCCCAAGTGCTGGGATTAAAGGCATGGGCCACCAACCCCTGCAATGCATTAACTTTTAATACTGGCTTTGTTACTTGAACGAGTCCCTGGGACTGGCTGCCCTACTAGTGATGAGGAGCCTGAAGCAGTGACAATGGCACAAGTCCCAGTGTTTCACAGGAGACACACTTGGTTGTAGTCACATGCAGTTTTTTTCAGTAGTCTCTGGTCTTTAAGGTAGAGGAGCAGCTGATACAGGAGACCCACAAGGTATGGCAACAAAAGTTACAATTCCACTCCTCTACTGCTGTGGGTGCATACACCTAAAAGCCCCTAGCTGTGCACCCTGGGAAAGGAAACAACAGCCACAGTTAGTTTTGTTGTTTGTTCCCAATTCTCAGTGGTAGTTCTCACCAGGGACTGAGTGGAAGCTGCATTTCTCAGAAAGTTCACATTTTTTGAAAATAACTTACAAACAAGTATTTTATATAGCATATAGGTATATAGCTTTTAAACAGGTTTTCTTCAATTCTTGCATCTCATGAGTTTTGATACTATTTGGAAGTTGTTTATTTACTTGCACATTCAAATAATTGTCTGAGTCCACTCATTATTAGAACCAATACAAACTGAAAATAACTAATTTTTCTCCTCTGAGCAAATTATGATATTGGCTACCTCAATTTTGTGTTTGAAAACAGGTTAATAGTTTCAGAATAATACTAACAATAGTCACAGAAGGCCCTCTTGTCTTAATGATGATTTCAACTGAAATACCTTGGAATGCTTCAATTTCAGTGATACAGTAACTATTAGTTAAATATTCTACTTCTGGTTTTCAATAAGTTATTAATACTTTATATGGTCTGAATGTCACTAACACAAAACTCTGATTTCCTGAGAAAAGAAAATCAAGATTTTTATTTTTGTAGCAGTTCAGATTTCAAATTTTGGGATTAGTAAAATCTGTGCAAATGTCCCAAAATCTACTAGTTGAAAGTTGAAACACATCAGACATTACATGTAAGACTCAACTTGTATCACATACAAGTTTTACATCTCAACTATATATTCACATGCCTAGTATGGGTTTTATATTGTTCTTAGTAAATGGTAAACAGGACCTACACCCCCCAAAAAAAAATTCTTTTCAAAACTACTAACTGAAATAGTAATTTCAAAAATATGACTGGCTAATGAGCATGTACATGCAAACTTAATGAATGAAAATCTTCAGAACACTACCTTCTGCGGGTCAAGCTTGCCCAGGACCACTTCCATGAAATCCTCATCCGAAATTATGATGGTTGTATCAGCAGAGCCTTTTGCAGGTCCTTGATACACTTCTCCAGAGCCATTCTTCATGTCAATGGCTGGGAAAAAAGAAAATAAGGTGTATCACTTTTTTCTCAAAAATATCATAGCACAGAAAGTGAACTAAAATGGAAACTTATAATTTCTAAATTAGGCAATATTCATGTATCCTATACTTGTTCTTCTTCTAGAACATGTACTTTCTGTCATGTAGAAAATTTGTGTTGATCTGATCTGAACCTGTGCAGGTCTTGTGTGTGCTGCCTTTCTCTGTAAGTTCATATGTACATCAGTCTTGTGTCTGGAAGACAGTTTCCTTGAAGTCATCCATCACCTCTGGCTTTTAGATTCTTTCTACTTTCTCTGCATAGATCCCTGAGTCTTGAGGGGAGAGGTTTGATGAAGTCATCTCATTTAGGACTGAGGGCTTCAGAGTCTCTCACTCTCAGTGCATTGTCCAGTTGTGGGTCTCTGTGTTTATTACCATCTACTGCAAGAAGACACTATGATGTTCATTATTTTAACTAGCTTCTCTTCCATTGACAGACTTTTTGTAGAAAGGCTAACTGTCCCAGAAACAGACTTAGTAGTTGAGAACACTAATCACCAGTTTAATTGCACTGCTTTCTGTAACACAGAACTTCACCAAAGCTACAGTAGGAAGTCTGAGCTGTCTCCCCTATGACTGATATCATGCCCACAGGAAAACTAGTCAGCATATTCAGTGTCAGCCTCATGACACTGGGGTCAGGGTTGCTGCCACTGTATCAACCCTCCTAGAGGATGTAAAGAACTCCCAACTTCCACAAGGCAAGCTGAAGGTCCATAAGAACATCCAGAGTGCTTAACTACCTTTTTGTTAGCAAGTGCTGAAAAAGAACTGAGCCACTCCCAGTCTCTACAGACAAGAATTCCACCAAGCAAGCAAGCAAACAAAAATCTTGAGAAAATAAAAGCTTAATGTTTAATCTAGGAAGGTAAAGAGCAAGGAAGGACCATTTTGCTTGCTGGAGTTTCCAGTGTGATTATTAGACAAGGTGTCAGAGGCACTAGGAGTGTAACATGAAAAACAAAGGCCCTATTCTTACCGGGACTTCCAGAAATACACTTTCATAGTGTGTATTATTTCTATAGTCAAAGAGAAAGGTAACAGAAGAGCTGGGAGGTGATGGTGCATGTCTTTAATCCCAGCACTTAGGAGGCAGAGGCAGGTGGATCTCTGTGAGTACGAGGCCAGCGTTGTCTACAAAGCTATACAGAAACCCTGTCTCAAATAAAACAAAAAAAGAAAAAAGAAGGTAACAGAATGGAGAAAGTATAGAAAAAGGTAAAAGGAAGGAGAGGAAGGGTATGGAAAAGTTTAAAGGAAAGCAAACCTCTGCCAGCGAATAGACTTATCATCTCTGGTTTTAATTCTGCACATCTCTGTCCAAGCCCCACTGGGAGAGGGAGTGTACATAAAAATTCCACTCAGTAATAAAACTGTACTTTACACACATTAATGCTAGAATAAAGAAGTAAGTTTGCATACATTGATACTACAGTAAAGGAGTAAGTCTCCCCACCCACAACAATCCATGGTTGCTCAGTCACATTTTCCCTTAAACTTATCTACTCGCCATTCACAGACATGAGACTTGAAACTGTGAGACACTATTAGCTACACTGATCCAAGAAAGGATGGAACTAGAAGTCATATAGACATTTGGGGTAAAGGAAAAAAATACTCAAATGCATGGGGGCTTTGGTGTGCGTGGGAAAAGCATCCGCTGGAAACATTTAGAATCCAGATGCCTGCAGGAATAAAGAAACTGCACTTGCACCCAATAGTGGTTTACTGTGCTTGAGTGACTATAGTTCAAATTTGTTATCACTGAGTCTCTAAAGAGTTCAGGAAGATTTCAGCTAGAATTTCCTGCCTTTACAGGAAGGGGTGTGGTAAAATCACAAAAGGGCTATGGGAGGGGGAAAAAATTGCTGCTTTTGCCTCCTATGCCTAGGACAGTGAAGTCTTTGTGGGCACAAACCCATCTTGTCACCTAATCCCATATTACTTCTTTGAAGAGAAAGTGTTTAGGAAATGTTAAGTGAATGAGTGAAAGGGCATGAGAAAGGCTCTCTGTGCCCCCCAAAAGTAGCATCAAATGAAAAACTTTGACACAGTACCCTAGGATGTCCTCAAAATCATGGGTTATCCTCCTACTTCTGCCTCCTAAATGCTAAGATTACAGAAGGGGGACACCACACCCTACTAAAATAGAAGCTTTTTTGAAAAAGAAAAAAAAAAAAAGGGAGAAAGCCAGGAAACAATACTTTGCTACTATTCTGACCATAAATTCATAAACCTAATCATGAATAATATCAAATAAACAAACTAAAGAATACTCTTCAAAATAACCTTTTCAAAACACCAAGATGATAAATAAGACAATGTATCAAGACACCAGCAGCTAGGAACTTAACAAGTGAAGAGTGTGAGCAGGCCAGACAGGGGACATTCATCCCCTTCTCTCTCTTCATTTCTACTGTTGCTACTATTACTGTTATTATTCCTTTGCTTTAAGTGACACTATTGTGACAAATAGCGAAACATTAATAAGGTAGTAGAGTAGATAAGAACAGTGTATAAATGTTAACTTCCTGACATTGATAACCACTCTGTGATCAGAAAATGTCTTTGTTCTTGGAATAACAGAGTAGCCATCACCCAAGTTTCCAAGTTATTCTTAAGTACATACACTTTTACAAAATGGAGTAAAATTTTTAACAATTTGAAGTACTAGATGAAAGGTAACTGTTACTTCTCTTTATAATCTTCACAGTTTTGTCTCTGTGTCAGAATTTATTGTTAACAAAAAACTGCAAATGATGTTAGGACACATTACATACTGAGAGGACTGACAGCCTGTGAAGCAGTGCTATGCTGTGAGCATGCAGTCAGAAACCAGGCTGCCTACTGCTAGGGAAATCCTTACTGATGACTAGAGAGCAGATTCTTTCCAAAGGCACTTGTATGAGACACTTCTAAATCTCAACCCCAAATCTAGAACTGCCATCTTTAAATTTTAGTGGATAGGCCTGTTGAGCTGGTACATGCCTATACTCCAACCACTTGTGAAGTTAAGGCAGAAGAGTTTCTGGTTTGAGGCAAGCCTGGGATATAAAAGCAAGGACTTGCCTCAAAATATAATACAAATAATTTATGTTTAAGCTGAAAAGTCTTAAAGGATAATCCAATTTGACTTCAGAAGATGAATTCCAAACCACAGCTCATGGGCTCTGATTAAATGAGCTTCCTCAAGAAGGTTTGGATTCTCATCTGCAAGCAATGCCAGTTCTCAAATCTTCCTTCCACATGGTGACAAGTTTCCAAAATGTATGAACACTAACATTCAAAGAGCATCGTCATCCCGTCACTGTCATACAGTGCACAAAAGACACCTGGATTTGGTTCAGATATGTAGTTAGCTCTGGACACTTATATACAATATACGTCATCAAAACTCAACTAATTCACTTCACCAAACAATATTCAAAGAAAAATGCATAGTATCTGTATGATCTTGGTACCTCAATGAAATTTTTACATGTTCATATAATGTAAAAGATTTTAGACAGATATAAGAGACTGAACAGAAACCAACCTGCTCCAGGCCATTTGATCAAACATACCACTCTAAGGAATATAGAACACATTCTCTTCAGCAACATGGTGTCTTTAGGATATAATAAGTACTTGTAAACAGTTTCAATAGTTTGAATGCATCCTATAACTATAAATATTCAAGCAACAAAAAAATACTTAGAAACATGTATTGTGTCCTTGGCATTACAAAAAAATTATATAATGGAAATATGTTAGCAAAATTCCATGTGAATAGGAATGGCAGACAATCCTCCACAACCACAGTTCCATTCTGTCTTCTTCTTGTATGACATTATCAAGGTGGCAAAGCTAAGAGCCCTGACTGTGCTTTCCAACTCTGCACGCAGCTGTCACTTAGCCATGGTCTGCAGGCACACAGCCCACAATCTAACCCCATCTTGATTGACCATAATCCTGGCATCACAGTTCATCATTTTCTCTCTACAAACCCCTACCTCTTCCCCATTTTGCTGTTCCAGTAATGAGTCACTATTCTTAAGAGTACAAGTTCACATGTGAAACAAGCTTGTTCCCTAACTAGAACTAATAAATAAATTAAAAAAAAAAAAGAGCACAGGTTCAAAACCTCAGTTTTATCCCAGATATCTTAATTTCTTCTGACAGTCAGGCATAAGTAGTGCTCAAGGAAGTTGGTTCTAAGTAATGGTTTCACATCGGTCCTCTCCCCCTTCTCTCTTCTCTCTTCTCTCTTCTCTCTCTCTCTCTCTCTCTCTCTCCTCTCCATTATTATCATAATTTTAATATAGGTCTGCCTTTCTACTAGTCTTTTCATACCCATCGTTTCCAACCCAGTAGGGGTCATGATACATAAACACTGAACTCTTCACTGAATGAACCAATTTTCCCATCCTCTGAAGCTAAGCTCATCTTTTCCAGGCCTCTGTCACCTGTGCTCCACATGCACATTCTGAATCTCAATTTTTAGCCTGGATGTGTTTTGGAATTCAGAATTGTTCTGATTTTAGTAACTTTAAGTTAGGAAAGACCCCCAATAATGCAACACTGTATAAACTGGCATATTACTTCTCCACTCTAATTGACACTAGGTGAAGTAAATAAAGACAGTAATAACCACCTAAGCTGGGGTTGGGTTTTGTTAGTAGTGGGTTTTAAGAGGGAAAAGATTTCTACCTTCAAATCTTTCTGCTTCCAAATTTCAGATCAGAGTAACTGCTTTAATTTCCAGCAACAGACAACTCTGTAGGCTCCCTGAAGCTTCCTGCTATTTCTTTCTTGTGTGGTGCTGGGAATGAAACCCTGGGCCTCTACACAGCAGGCATTTGAAGGGGGAGGTCCTTCTGTGTATATGTTTATCCTATTGATTATTGAATAAAGTACTGTTGGCCAATGAAGAAGCAAGTTAGGCAGGACTAGGAGTCAAGGAGGATTCTGGAAAATGTAGTAAAGAAGTGTTGTGATCCAGGCAGGAAGTGACATAGCAGGCAGACTCATATATAAGCAGGGACAAACAGGAAGTCCTTCTTTTTCTCTTGCTCTTTCTCCTGCTCTCTGCTCTGGAGCTGCCATGTGTTCTGCCAGCAAGAGAGGGTACTTACCACCAGCGTCCTCCATACAATAAGTCTTATGATTATGATTGATAATTAAGACTGAGCTAGCATATAAGAAATCCTAGTCATTGGCCAAGCAGCATTTGTACCTAATATAAGCTCTGTGTGTTACTTGGGACCTTAACATGGCAGCAGGTAGAACTCGGGTGACCTGGTGGAAAGCGCCCTCATGGCAGCAGAGCTCGGGAGATGGAGAAAGATTTATCATCATTACAGGCATCCCCGACCTAAGCCACTTATTCTGCCAGCTTTCATTCCTCTAAACTTTACTGTTAACAGAACACAGGAATAGTACCCAAAGAGCTTACTAGACAATTTTTGGATGGTTTTAGAAATTAACAAATAAATAAATATGATCATTTCTAGTAAAAAAATGTTTCACCACTAAAGAAAAATCGGGGTACCATCTACACAGCAAACTACTGAACAGAAAACAAGCATCCATTTTTGTTCTTCTAAAAGGACAATGATCTCATCCCTCTAAGTCGTGACTCCTATATGGCTTTTAGCACTTACCAGCATAAGCCTGTACAAACTGAATATGTGCTACAGACCTGACAACAGACACAGTGCAGTTCTTTCTCAGAGTTAAGCCCAAGGTCAGATGAAAAGGGAAAAGTAACTAGAAATAACCAAAGTACAACAGAGTAAGTGGGCAAGCAAGAACCTGCTCCAAGGGGAACAATGAAAGATCCTTACAAAAATAAAGGGACAAGGATGGCCTTTACACAAAGGTGAGACAACCAATGACACAGAACCTTGGGAATGACTGCTTGTTTCCAGATATTTATTTTCAATTATTCATTATTATTATTACTATTCATATATATATATATATATATATATATATGATACATATTCATATGTGTATATTGTTATTGTTAGCAGTGTCATACTCAAACTCTGAAGCAGCATTGTGCCCATTAAATTCAAACTTTTTAGAGTATCATGTTATTCATCACTGAGGGGAAGTCCTGCAAGCAGAGGCAACACTGCCCTCCTGTTCCTTCCTACCTAACAATATGTGATGTGTCTTAGAAGTGGCACACTTCAAGGCATACATATGACTCCTGTCTCTGTAATCAACAGTGTCTTGGCTGATACCAGCATTCTCTCTAGATCTAGATTTGACTTGAAAAAAGACCCCTCCTACACATCCACCCTGCCCAGATGTGGTACTGTCAGGGGTGGAACGGAAAAGATGGGCATGGTCTAGGATCTTTGGGTTCCTACATTTGCTCAAAGGCAATGATGGCATACCCAGCCTGCATGCTCATTTCCATTCCCTGCATCCTGTTTCTAGTGTACCATGATGTGAGCATGGCTGGGCTACTTAACAATAAAAAACACACAATCTTTGGTGCTTCAGCATTTGGCAAAACATCTTTAAAAAAACTGCTTGTGGGAGAAAAGGTAAAAGCAACATATTCCCTAAGGTGTTCTTTAAATATCTATTCTATATCAACAAGCACCACAATGCAACACAGGGCTACCCAAAAGGATGTCTTCTACCACACCAATAAGCCAAAAGATCTTCACTGCAGCCAAATACTGTGATTTACCTCAGTAACACAAAGACTGGAGAGAAAAGAACCGAAAACAGTTTCACAACTGTGAATCAAATCAAGCTGAGAGACAAAGCCAATCCAAGCACAGGGAAAGATGAACCCTTTCAGGGGAGGTCTAGAGCCCTGTCACTGCTTGCTTTGCGAGGTAAAGACCTGGAGAGATGAGAAAGCAGACAAAAGCTGCAAAGAACTGATGGCATGCAGCAATGAACAAGATTCCAATATTCTCTTTACCTCTAATGGAAGTTAATGGAGAAAACTTTTTTGTGTTAACAACATGTAAGTTTTCAATGTAAGCACATTATCTTCCGAATGACATCTTAGTTGGTTATTAATCACTTGCATCTTATTGCTGGCCTGCTTGCCTAGGTCAATCACTTTTCTTCAATATGAACTGCTGTGGTTCAAGTAGCCCAGCCATGCTCACATCATGGTACACTAGAAACAGGATGCAGGGAATGGAAATGAGCATGCAGGCTGGGTATGCCATCATTGCCCTTGAACCGCCAGCTTCAAGACTCATACTTCGAGCCCTTTTCTCGTTCCTGTGGCACTCTCTCTCTTTCACCAGTATCTTCATAAAGACTATGCTCTACAACTCAGCTGCTAATGAACTTTTTCCATGAAAGGAAAGCTATGCACACTCTGTTAACCTATGGCGCTAGCTCAGAAATCATGAGGCAAGCTGAGATCTGTGAATGCAGAATCTTACTATTCAGCCTTCCTTCCTCTCCTCTCTCAACTTGTTGCAAGCAATGTTTTCCACAAGGAATAACCAACAGATTACCTGTGGTTTTCTTTTTAGCAGAAACACTGTTGTGTTTTCCTCTTTTACTAATATAGACTATGTTTTATACAGTGAACATGTGCTGCCTAAAAAGAAATAGCAAGTGTTAAATTAAAACTTCAAAATGTTTTAAAGAACAAAAAATAGAAAATTGTTTCCAAAAGTTCTAAATGATTTAGACAGAGTTTAGCTGTATGTGTGGCCATTATTTAGTTGTAATGAACAATGGAACTGTGTGATTATTTTTAAAGTACCCAAGTAGGAACAATTTTTTTTCCTCCAATGCTAGAGATCAAACCCAAGGCCTTCTACATGATGGCTAAGCACTTTGTCAGGCATATGTCTTCAGCCCTAATCATGTTCTCTCAACAGCCATCAGGTAAAAGCCCAAACATACACATTTTCATTAAGGAATCTGTACCAGCACATTACCTACATAGTATGTAATACAAAAATCCTAGTTTAAAGAAGGTCCCATCCATCAGCTCTGGGTATGAAAAGCACAGCCTTCTTGCTCTCAGTTAAGAACCCAGTATATTACATTCAATACTCAACTCATTGACTGTTTCTGGAGAATTACTACCAAAACCAAGCTGAACCTAGAAGCTTACACAGGTCTAGACTCTAAGCAAATCCCAGGCCTCCTCCAAACTCTCCAAACTCTCACAGGATTGCACTGGCTTTATTTTAAGGCTTATTTATTTGCATTTTTAATGTGTATTTGAGTTTTGCCTGAGTGTGGCTATGCACCAAGTGCATGCAGTGCACCCAGATACCAGAAAAAGGGCATCAGATTGTCTGGAATTGGAGTTACAGTTTTTAGCTGCCACGTGGGTTCTCTGAATAGAACTTGGGTCCTCTGAAGAGCAACAAGTGCTCTTAACTGCTAGACCATCTCTCCAGCCCCTTTTGGGGGCTCACAGCAACCTAAACTACACGGGAATCTCATTTTCTCAATTAGAAATGAAACTTTATGGGTGGGGAGCATGCATGCCATACACTGGTGAGAAGTCCATTTCTAAAACTACCCTGAGCCCCCCACCAATGTTACTATGGAAATTTAGGAGAAAAGAGCTGCTAGACTCCCAGTGTCCTCAGGCTTCCAGGACGAAGGCTAGGAGTAAGTAGAAGGAAGAATACCCAGGGAGCATTCACTGATGGCCCAATTTCTCCCCAATCCTACAGGACAGAATAAAGATAAGACAGCTCAGCACATACAAAAGATCTGGAAACATGCTTCACTCTTTTTAAATCTCCCAATTTTTCTTTCGTTAGAAAATGGCACCAGGGATAATCATCCCATGGCCTCATGCATTGTCAATCACTGGCAGACTGAAACCAGGGATATGGAATGCCAAGTGTAGTACTGATGTCAGGTATTACAATAGCATCACGAGCACATAGTTGCTGTGGCTACATGCACTGGACCCATACAAGACTGGGCTGGTCAACAATCAGTAGTAGATTGGGGATTCTTATAGAGACCTAGCCCTCCCTGGAGAACTATTGGCTACTGATGGATGCTAGGAGGTGGAGACTCACAGTCACGTCTTCAGTTATCAGCCACTAGTGAGAGTACCACTGGAACATATAGATAGTTCCACATGGACAGTGCAGTTAAAGTCAGTGGGTCACAAAACAAATACACAAATGTGGGTGAGGAATTGGCAGAGAGAAGGAGAGGTTAACACGTTGGGGTGGGGCAGAGTAATTAGAATGCATTATATATGTGCATGAAATCGCCAATGACGTGTAATTTAAGGGAAAAAAATGCATGCCTTTTAATGTCCTGAGGCTTATTAGTTCTCATGGAAAACGACAAACAACCATGTAGGTCAGACTTACCTGCTTTCAAATATATATAATTGATATATATATCAATTATAATGTATTTCATCTCCACTAAAAGTTACCTTAGAATAACAGAAAGTCAGAAATCTTACTTACTCCACTTGGCTGCAATATTTCCACCTTTTGTGATATGCCATTCAAATACAGCATTTACTTTCTTTACCACCTCATGTCCAATGTCCTTAAGGCGGCGACCTATTTCCCCAAATACAAGAGCACTCTGAAGCTCCTCATCCTGACAAAAAGAAGAAATTTTATTTGAAAACTTCACAAAGAAATTATTACAAATACATGCAATAAGAGTCATTTTTATCCAGGTCATAAATAACACAGCTAAACTATTTTCTTCACACTAGGCTTATTTCACACTTTCTTTGTGTTACACAGCCCAGAATTTGTTTACCTTACCAGAAAAAAAAAAAAAAGAAAGAAAGGGTTTGTCTGTATAACAGCCATAGCTGTCCTAGAACTTTCTCTGTAGACCAGGATAGCCTAGAAATACTCACAGAGATCCGCCTGCCTCTGCCACCCAAGTTTGAGATTTAAGGCATGAGCCGCCACCACCACCTGGCAAGAAAATTCTATTTTTAAAATAATATCTTAGGGACTGAGGTAAAGTACCTCCTGTAAAACCATGAGGTCTGATTTGAATCCCAAGTGCCCATGTCAAAAGCTGGGTGTGGTCATGCACATCTTACCCCCAGCACTGGTCCAGGGGCTCACTAGGAAGCCAGTCTAGATAAAATGGTAAGCTCCAGGTTCATTGAGGGACCTTGTCTAAAAAATAAGGGGGAGAAGCAACAGAGGAAGACATCTGATAACAAGATCTACGTGTGTGGCTGCTCAAGTGAGTGCATCCAACCACTCGCCACACAAATTAATTATTTTTTATAAAAGGAGAGAAAACTACCTAGGTCTAACTAACTTCTCAAAAACACTGAGCAAATAATCAAGTCCTATGGTCTTCAGTTTTTGTTTCTAAAATAGGAGTAAATTCCATGAAACCTTAATTATTTCTGGCTGTAAGATATCATATGCTCTGACTTTAGATTATTCTAACAAGATGTTAATTTTTGTTCATTATATAATAACATTGTTTATGAAGGAAAAAGATCATGGGTATGAAAGTCTCAAGATTATTTAATATTTCAGGCATAGAATACAAATATTTTTATCAAAACCTTACTAAAATATAAATAATTTAATAAATAAGACATGTTATTATCTTCATATCTGCCTACAAACCTTTAAATCAAGAAAAAAGATTAGGTTACTTAACTTTTCACCTTTTTTCTCCAAATACTTTTCAAGATTTCTCATTAAAACCAAGTTAGTCATTCTTAAAACAACTATTTCCTCTTAAAAGTACCTCTTAAAAGCTATCAAAATATTTCTTTCATTCCAATTAGTTTTAAATTATGTTATTTCTGCAACAGGCTTTTCATAGCTAACGGAAATAGCCTGACCAATCCTGAAGTGACATTAACTAAGGCTCACACACAGAAGTGACTGCATGCCAGTCTTTGCAGCCTACCTTAGGGTATTTGAGCTGAAACCCCAGATGTAGGCACAAGATCTACATATGCATTTGAAATGACGATGTCTCCAGTCTCTTGGACCTGAAGAGTAGAAGTGGGATAGAAAATAAATACAGTTCAATCTGATGGTTTACAGTTCCATCCTGAAATGCTACAGCCATTTTAAAGAAACCTCATACTTTTCTTTGAAATAAAAAAAATTTAAAACAAAAGCTAGAAAGCCAAATAAAAGATCAATGATGTAAATAATAAAATAATAAACATGAAAAAATAAAAAATAAGAAGAAACATGAATATTTTCTGAATTAACATAATTGTTATAAGCCTGGATATAGAATCAACTGATAGTTTTTAAAGAAGGGAAAAAGAAAACAAACTATCATCAGGTCTCATCTTCCAAAATAGTAATTAAAGGAGCTGGAGCAATGGCTCAGTAGTTAAAAGCACTGAGGACCCCAGTTCAGTTCCAGTTTGGTTTCCAGTCCAGCACCCACATGAGGCAGCTCACAATCACCTGCAACTCCAGCTCTAGGAGATCCCACCCCTTGGCTTCTGTGAGTTGCTGCACTCACATGCATATACCCATATACACAACCACACAGCTACATAAACTTTAAAAATAATAAAATGATATTTTTAAAACCTAAATACTAATTTAAATGATCTAGGACAGAGCCTGGGCTCTGGTATTTTGGAGATTTCCTTTACCCAAGGCCAAGTATATTTTGAGGGGAGTCAGAGTGAGCAGTCAACTGTTGGAAATAGTAGAAGGTGTGTCATAATACCCCCATATAGAGCAAATTTGTTTTGTTAATATAGCTTAAAACTGGGTAGAAACAGATGATAATGTTTGTAAAGTCATAATTCTGGATCCTATTTCAAGTCAGAAGTATACACAATGTGAAGTAAATGTCCACATAACATTTCACACCTGCCATTAAAGAAACTCTCATTCCTAACCCTATATTTCAAATCATTCCAGGGACTACTCATCCATAAGAACAATACTGTAAGCCAGGCTTGTAATGTTAGCACCCAAAAGGCTGAAGCAAGAGAACTGCAAGTTCAATGCTAGCCTGGACTAAGAAAGCATGTTTCTGTACATATTGTGATATAGCAATGGATTTACAATACAGAGAACAAATTTCCAAAAGTTAAGTATCAATTGTTACAACTTTAAATTTAACTAATCCCCTAATCCCCCTTGACTACCTCCCTTCTTTCTTGAAAGGAGGGAAAATACCTTCCCTACAAATATATATATATATATATATATATATATATATTGAAAAGCACAGGCACAATTAAACACAAAACAAAATACACTTTAGAAAATTGCTTTTTTATAAGCATATGAGCATATAGTTCTGA